AGCCACTCCTCGGAAGGAAGGTTGGGCAATCCTACTTCTGTAGTGATACTGCCTCGGAAACCCAAGGAGGGGTCACTATGAGTCGGGGCCAACTCGATGGCACATAACAACAACAACAATAGTTAATTGACTTCTCCAAAACAAATGAACTCACTGCCATTGAGTCAATTCTGAGTCACAGCAACCCTACAAGACAGAGTAGAACAAACTGCCCCAAAGGGTTTCCAAGGCTGTAAATCTTTACAGAAACAGATGGTCTCAGCTTTCTCCCACAGAGCCCTAGTAGGCTACTTGGCTTAAACTGATTCTCCAATCCCAGTCCGTTTAATAAATGTAAGTAAAATTACCTGTTTCATCATGGTAGTTGATAGCTTCTGTCTCCATCCACGCATTATCAGTGTTTCGAGGATCATCAACATATCCCTTATAAATCTATTTTTAAAAGAAGGCAGATAAAAAAAATTCTAGGATCAAACAGGAATGATGGAGAGAAGCATGTTACCTTCACTAGAATCAGAAATGTAACTAACCATCACAAAACCTTTAATGCAACATTATATATGCTCGTTTTAAATTTCCCAAGGAACAATATTCTCAAGGATTTTTGAGGTAGCTTAAAAATTCACAAAATCCTCAACAGTTCAGACTCTAATTTCAGAATGCGAGATTATTCTGGCTTTGGCCATGTAAATTTTTTAAAGCGTCCACAATTTAAATATTTTCTTTTCTAATAACTGTTGTTATCATTTAAGAAACATAAAGGTTGTTGTTGTTCTTAGGTGCTGTCAAATCATCTCTGACTCATAGCAACCCCATGCACAGCAGAACAAAACACTGCCCAGTCTTATGCCAGCCTCATGATCCTTGCTATACCTGAGCCCACTGTTGCAGCCACTGTATCTATCTATTTCATTGAGGGCCTTCACCTTCTTCGTTGACTCTCCATTTTAACAAGCATGATATCCTTCTCCACAGAATGGTTCCTTCTGACAATATGACAAAAGCAGGTGAGATGAAGTCTGGCCGTTCTCCCTTCCAAGGAGCATTCAGACTGTACTTCTTCCAGGACAGATTTGTTGGACCTTTTAGTAGATTGTAGTACTCTTTCTTAGCTTTCTTCTCCAACAGCACAACTCAAAAGCATCAACCCTTTTTCAGTCTTCCTTATTCATTGTCCAGCTCTCACATTCATAAGAAGTGACTGAAAATATCATGGCTTGGGTCAGGTGTACCTTAGCCTTCAAGGAGACATCTTTGCTCTTCATCACTTGAAAGAGGTCATTTGCAGCAAATTTGCCCAACGCAAATGTCATCTGATGTCTTGACTGCTGCTTCCATTGGTGTTGATTGTAGAACCAAGTAATATGAAATCCTTGTCAACTTTAATCTTTTATCTATCCACCGTGAAGCTCTTTATTGGACCAGTTGTGAAGATTTTTGTTTTCTTTATATTGAAGTTGGAACCATGCTGCAGACTGTAGTCTTTAATCTTCATCAGTAAGTGCTTCAAGTCATTTTCACTTTCAGCAATCAAAGTTGTGTCACCTGCATGTCGCAGGTTGTAAATGAGTCTTCCTCCAATCCTGATGCCAAGTTCTTTTTCATATATTCCAGGTTCTCAGATTATTTGCTCAGCATACAAGTTGAGTAAGTGTGGTGAAAGGATACAACTTTGACACACTCCCTTCTTGATTTTGAACCATACAGTATCCCCTTGTTCTGTTTGAATGACAGCCTCCTGGATCTATACACAGGTTCCTCGTGGGTACAATCAAGTGTTTTGGAATTCCCATTCTTCTCAATGTTATCCACAATTTGTTATGATCCACACAACTGAATGTTTTTGCATAGTCAAAACATTTCTGGTATTCTTGGCTTTCAGCTAAGATCCATCTGATATCAGCAATGATATCCATCGTTCCACGTCCTCTTCTGAATTCAGCTTGCATTTCTGGAAGCTATCAATATTACTGCTACAATCGTTTTTGAATTATCTTCAGTAAGATTTTACTTGCATATGGTATTATTCAATAATTTCCACATTCTGTGGGATCACCTTTCTTTGGAATGGGCACAAATATGGATCTCTTCCAGTCAGTAGGCCAGGTATCTGTCTTCCAAATCTCTTGGCATAGCCGAGTGCCTCCAGTGTGGCATCAGTTTCTTGAAACATCCCAATAGGTATTTTGTCAATTCCTGGAGCCTTGTTCTTCCCCAATTCCCTCAGTGCAGCTTGGATTTCTTCCTTCAATACCATTGGTTCTTGATCATATGCCACCTCCTGAAATGGATGAATATCAAGCAATTCTTCTTGGTACAGTGACTCTGTGTATTCCTTCCATCTTCTTTTGATGTTTCTTGCATCATTCAATATTTTGTCCATAGAATCTTTCAGTATTGCAACTCAAGGCTTAAATTTTTTCCTCAGTTCTTTCAGCTTGAGAAATTCCAAGCATGTTCTTCCCTCTTGGTTTTCTAACTCCAGGTCTTTGCACATTTCATTATAGTAATCTGCTTTGTCTGTTTGATCTGCTCTTTGAAATCTTCTGTTGACTCTTTTATCTTATCATTTCTTCCATTAGCTTTAGCTACTCTCTGCTCAAGGGCAAGTTTCAGAGTCTTGGACATCCATTTTAGTCTTATCTTCCCTTCCTTTTTAATGACTTCTTGCTTTTTTCAGGGATGATGTTCTTGATATCATCCCACAATTCCTCTGGTTTTTGGTCACTGGTGGTCAATGCATTACATCTATTCTTTAAAAGATTATTAACAAGGGATATTATCAAGGTCATATTTTGGCTCTAATGGACTTGACTTAACATAGAACCACCCCCAAGTGAAAAGCAGCCTCTAAGCCCTGGGCCCACTTACCTCAGGCCCCAGCCTTAATGTAGAGCCACACCCAAGTGAAAAGTAGCCTCCAAGCCTTGGGCCTGCCTACCTCAGGCCCTGGCCTTAATATAGAGCCATTTCCACGTGAAAAGAGCCTCCCAATCCCCAGCCCGCCTACCTCCGGCCCCAGCCTTAATAGTAATTAGAGTCCTCTATTTCTACAAAAAAAAAAAAAAAAAAAAAAACACCTATAAATAAAAAATATAAAAACTAATATTTAAGCGACTAATACATAGCAAGATTTTAATATCGCCAACTAACACAAATGTGATCAAAAGAACTAGACAACATAAACAAAAGCCGGCACAAAAAAAGAGGAGGAAGAAACAGGGAGGAGGAGAAAATCCTATCCTTTTCCTTATGATTAGTACACATTTATCTGATAAGATAGTTAAAAAAAATCACTGAGGGCATGCAGACAAAACAGATATGAGGTGAGGCACAATGGTTATCAACCAGAGCAACTCTGCATAATATAATTTAAAATGTAAATGTCCTTTGAAATAGAGCTTAATTCAAGCAAATAAAAGGTAGGTTTTCTGTTGAACAGGTACTCAGCATGTATAAAAAAACCTTGTATATCACATCAGTTCACATCTAGTGAAGAAAAACTACGAAGTAAAGAGTACTGTTAAGCCAAATAATATAAGTGACCTAAAGTTTAGTGGGCTATAAAACTTTAAACAGAAATTTATTTACAATGAAGCTTCACTATGATTTAAATTATTTCTGTAAATACGTATTTCAAACATACACATATTCTATTTTATTTAGAGAAAGGATCTACCAGATTTCCAGATGAACTACAAGTAATTTTCATTAACCCAAAAGAAACAAATAAAATTGATCCACAGAGTAAATTACTTCTGTAGGAACTACCATTTCTTACCACTAGATGTTCTTGGCTAAAGAGTTTGTGCAATTGCTCCTCTATTTCTTTCTTTTCAGCATTGGATTTCTGTAATGAGTTGAGAGCTTCCTCACCAAATTCTCTTTTCAATGTGGCACTAATCTTCTCTCCTGGATCCACCATGCCCTAATAGTCACATTAAAAAAAAAAAAAAAAAACTAATATGCTTTGATTCATTCAACAGATATTACTGACTGACAAAGTGACATTTTATTCTTTCTGCCCATAATAGTAATCCCTATTCTTCTGGGGAATGTCCTTCTCTAAACCAGTTGTTTCTAGTGGAAGCAGTCAATAAGGATATCGCATACACTTAATCACAGTGATTGGTCCAAGATTATTAGCCTATGGCTAACTGAGTCAATCAGACTCCTTTCCTGGTATTTCTCAAACTCCAGTTAAGGAAAAAAAATGCCTGGAGTCAAGAAAGAATAGAGCAAATTGATACTGTCTCCATTGTTTATTCCACTCTACCTACAATGGCCTAGTCACTGTTCGCAGGACATACCAGACATCCTCCTGCTCTACTCCCCACTTAGGGCCTTTGCACCTGCTCTTACCTCTATCCAAGCTATTTTCCCTTAGATGTCCATACATTCACTTATTTACCTCCTTCAAATTTTTACTCAAATGTCACCTTTTCATAGAGGTCTTCTCTGACCACCCTCTCTAAAACTCCAAAATACTCTGTAGTCACCTATCCTGCTGTAGTGTTTTTCTAAGTACTTATCATCTTCTAATATATGATAGTTTTACTAATTCATCTTATTTATTACTGTTTTCCCCACGGGAATATGAGCAGAGCACCAAGAGAAGAAGGATTTTTGTTATGTTGTTCTGTTGCATCCTCAGTGTCTAAAATATTAGCTGGCTGACAAACGGCAGATACTCAAAACAGATTGATTAGATAAATGACTCATGATATCAACAATGAAAACAGTTCCCTGATTAATCAGAATTTCAAATGACAATGAAAATATAAGGTCCTCTAATTAAAGCATTATTATAATACTGCACTCAGCATGACTGAAGTTTGACTATTTGGTTAGGACTAATTAGACTAACGACTCGACGGCACATAACAACAACAACAACAACAATTAGACTAAGTTTTCATCAAAGTCAGCTGAGATCTTTATTTCCATTCCATATTTATCCTACAGGAAGGAAAAAAAAATTCTTCCAAATAGCAGTATGTGCATAAAGTCAAACTCACATCAAACTATCTCTATTACTTCACAGTAGGGCATAAAATATAAAACCCTCTCCCACACATACACATTTTAAAAAGGCATTTCAGATATATCCCTGATGGGAAAAGACACCAATAGTTGCATCTTAGAAAGCCACTCACAAGCTTTAAGACCCTAGCTGCTACTTACCCAAAGCAGGATGCAGAACATTATCTTTGTGGACTATGTTATTTCAACTGACTTTGATGTCCCCCTCAACTATGGTCCTGAGTCTCTAGGCCTGGCAACTTATTCCCTCAAGGTGTTCGGTAACAGCTAAGAAGTTTTCATAACTTTGTCCTGTTTGCTCTTATATATACATGGATGTATTTATAGCACATACAGGTACAAATATAAAAATATCATCTGCCAAACCTATATAAGGTAACAGGTGTAATACTGTTCACCTACCCATACCTCTTTATCATGCCTGTTCATGTATCCACTCATAGATTGATGTTTATTGTTTCTAATAATGCAGGACTGTGTATGTAATAGCATTTAACTTTGTTGTCTATAGTTCCTGTGTACCTCTCTTTATCTTCCTTTTCCTTAGTGATATTGTGCTGATCACCCCCTTATTGTATATTGCCTTTCTCTTCACCCAAATGAATGCTTGTCTATCACCTACAGTGAAGGAAACCAAAGACACATGGAAATAATTAGTCCAAAGGACTAACGGACCATGTAAATCTCAGCCTCTAGGACCCTAATGGGAGTGCTGGTAGCGTAGTGCCTAAAGCACTTGACTGTTAACCAGAAGGCTGGCGGTTCAAATCCACCAGCCACTCCTCTGAAGGAAGATGGGGCAATCTACTTCCGTAGTGATACTGCCTTGGAAACCCAAGGAGGGGTCGCTATGAATTGGGTCCGACTCGAGGGCACATAACAACAAAAACAACATAACCCTAAAACCAGAAGAACTAGACGGTATCTGGCTACCACTGCTAACTGCTCTGGAAGGGATCCCAAAAGAAAGTCCTGGATAGAATGGGTGAAAAATGTGAACAAAATTCAAAATAATAAAAACAGACCAGGCTCACTGGTCTGACAGAGAATGGTGAAACCCCTCAGACTATGGCCCTTAGGAACCTATCAAGCCTAAAACCAAACTCAGTTCCACGGCTCAACTTTTAGCCAAGTAATAGGCATATACATGAACAATAGCATCAGGGAGGGATGCACCCTTTGGAACAATCAACCAAACCATATTGGAACAGCAGCATTTGCCCAAGGATAAAGCTCAGAAGGCAAGGGATAGGAAAAAGGACAAATGGAAACAGTAAACACAGAGGGGAAATGGGAAGAGTGCTGTTACACTATGAAGATTATAATCAATGTCATGAAACAAAATGTTTATGAACTCTTGAATGGAAAATCAATTTCCTCTATAAATTTTCACTCAAATCACATTTTTTTAATCCTAAAAAATATCACTGACTTGAATTAAACTACATCAAGCCAAAAGTATATCTTTCTTAGTAACATTATAGAGATTCAAAAAAAAAAAAAAAATCTACAAAGAACAAGTAATGAAAGTTATCCTTTTTATTATATATAAAATAAGTTATCTTTATCACTATTTTTATTTTGAATTCATCACATAAAGCTAAAAATCTTATCCTGGGCTAGAAGTGGGGAATGAGTTGTAAAGGGGACCCAACATCAAAGTGCCTACTCACTACACCAAAATAAAAAGAAACCAGTTGATTTGTTTTGTTGTGTTGTTGATTCCAACACACAGTGAGCCCATGAGTGTCATAAAATAACTGGGCTCCATCACTGGAAAGAGGTAACTATGGGGAGGAAGTAGGAGGGGAGTTGTTGCATTGTAGTAAACTGTGGTCAATGACATGAGACAAAGTATATGTGAACTGCTGTGTGGAAAGTGAATTTGCTCTGTAAATCTTCACCCAGAACACAATATAAATAAATAAATAAACAAACAAACAAATAAATAATAAATAATAACTGGGCTCCATGAAGTTTTCTTTCAGTGGCTGTGAGACCTTTTGAAGTGGATCACCAGGCCTTTCATCCAAGGTCCCCCTAAGTAAATTTGAACCATCAACTTTTCCGTTAGTAGTCAAGAGCTTTAAACCTTTGTGCCACCCAGAGATTCCACATATTACATACCAGGTGCTTTAGATACTATCTTTAACAATTCTATGAGATTGTTGTTAGGTGCTGTTGGGTCACCTCCAACTCATAGCGACCCTATGTACAACAGAACAAAACACTCCCCCAGTCATGTGCCAGCCTCACAGTCCTTGCTATGCCTGAGCCCATCATTGCAGCCACTGTGTCAATCCATCTCATTGAGGCCCTTCCCCTTTTTCTTATTCTATGAGATAGATAATATTATCTTTACCCAGCTGAAAGTGGGAAGGCCAGGACAAAAAAACCTAGATCTAACTCTAAAATCCAAGTTCTTTACACATGGGTTTCAGAATCCAGATTAGAGTCTGTAACTCTGTATCATCCTAAATGTGCTATTAATAATGACACTTCATTGCAATAATGAAGGACAAAAGAATTACTACACTGAAGTGGGAAGGAATACAGGATAAATGGAGTAGGAAAAATCTACCACAGTAACCTTGTAGTAAATAAAGTAGCTAAGAACTTAAAACATTAATTTCATTTTAATGCTTACCCCAGGGATTGCCCACTCTCCACAGTCTTTCCTTTTTATGGCAACAAACTGTAAAATGTTTTTTCCAGAAATAGGGTGGGTGATTTTATTTCCACTACTATCCCTTTTCCACCTGCAAAAAGTAATGTAAGATCATAAGCAATTTAGAAAGAAGATCAAGATTTTACTTAGCTTGATATAAAGATCTATTTTTCTTTATAACAGGCTATATATAAATTTATCTCAAATCGGGTTATTTTATTACTGTTTTTTATGAAAGATATTCTATATTTAGGACTGTTAGAAATAAGAACAAATGTGTATTTTACATCTAGGTATTATATTCTTTGTAATAAAAACTTAGAATACAAACAGTTTTTACTACTTAAAGTACTGTCAAAAAAACAATTTTAAAGGCAAGATAGACTTTAAGAATCATAAAAGTTTGAAAAATCAAAAGATCCTTTTTAAGAACTGAAGGCAGAAAGAGAATGAGTTACTGGGCCTGGGAGCTCAGAATCATAGTCTCAGTGGACACAAGGTCAATTGTCTTAACACAGTCCACAAAGACAATGCTCTACATCCTACTTTGCTGAGTAGAACTGGGGTCTTAAAGCTTGTGAGTAGCCATCCAGAGTGCAACTAACGGTCTCTTCTTGCCGAGAGCAAACAGTGAAGAAAACCAAAGATGCATGGAAAAAAGTAGTTCAAAGGAGTAATGAATCATGTGAACCCTAGCCTCCACAACCATGAGACCAGAAGAACTAGATGGTACCTGGCTACCACCCACCAACTGCTCCAAACGGGATCGCAATAGGAAATCTAAGATAAGAGAGGGAGAAAAATGTGGAACCAAATTCAAAATGATTAAAAAAAAAGAAGACCAGGCTCACTAGTCTGAAAAGACTGGTGGAACCTATGAGCCAATGGCCCTTAGTAACTCTTCAAGCCTGGAACTGAACTCACCACCATGGCTCAACTTTTACCCAAATAGGCCTATAATCTGAACAATAACACCAGGAAGGTACACTTCTTAGAACAATCAACCACACAAGATCTAAAGGGCAGCATTTGCCCAGGGATAAAGCTCAGAAGCAAAAGACAGGAAAGAAAAAAGGACAAATGGAAACAGTAAGCACAGGGAGGAAGTGGAAAGAGTGCTGCTGTATTGTGAGGATTGCAATCAAAATCATTAATCAAATGTGTACAAACTGATGAGTGGAAAATCAATTTGCTCTGTAAACTTTCACCCAAATCACAATAAAAAGTTAAAAAACACAAAATAATTGAAGATGTTAAAAAAAAAAATTCTAACAATATGAGCTTTTTTTAACAATGCATCTTGTGTTATCATAAGAAATGTAGATTATATGATACAGGTTCAACTGATCTCAAAAGCAATACCTCTCTATCTTTATGCCCTGTTTGGTAAACAAACAAAAATCTCACTATCATTTAAGTTTATATTTTGAGTTAAATTACTGCTTGAACAATTTCTCTTAGGAAGATCAGCACAAGGCCAGTCCCCATGAGGCAGAGGTTAAAGATGTCCCAAATGTCCAAATGACCGTGCCACTCCATCATTTCAGATATTAACTCCTCCTCCTCCTCTCAGTAATCTCCCCCGTCTTAGGGTTCTGTAAGTTCACGGTAACACCTCACAGAACTCACAGACACCCAAAGATCATCTCATGTAGTGATGGTCGGGGCTGGCAGGCTGGCAAATCCCAGGTCTGTGTAGGTCTGGAAGAGCCTCCCAATTCTCAGGGTTCGACAAACCTCCACCAGCAGATCAGATAACAACTTCTGCCCAAATCCAGGGGTGAGATGATGATGAGCCAAGACACAGAACCGGAACAAAAGAAGGGTGACCTTCCCAGAAGATTCATAGGTACCCTCAAGGAAGCTAAGGGTGGTGATTTGAGTTATACCCTCCATCAAGGCAGGACTCAAGGTATATCCCATCTGTGTTGCTTCAACAGCAATAACTCCAACAGATGGCTCTAACAATCAGCAGCTACTCAGTAGCGCACAGCAAATCCCACCACAGAGCCAAATACCAGTTATATAGGGAATGACTACTACCAGTTGCTCAGCCAAGTTGACACCTGACCTGAACTACCACACTACCCCAAACAGGCATGGATAATAGGATTTACAATGCATCATGAAATGGAGGACAATGGTTAGAAGGGCCACATCAAGCAATTCACCGCAATTACATAATATGTTTTATAAAAAGTATCAAGGCAATGTTAATTTTAGTATATACTTTTTCATAGCCTCTTTTCCAGAATATTACTAAATCTCCCCTTCTCCTTCCTTATCCCTCACCACATGCAACCCACCACCACATCCATTCCTCCACCACAATTTTAATTGTTCTAATAGTCTTTTAGGCAAAGATAAAAATCCTGAACTTTCAGTACTAAATCAAAATATAAAGTCTATGATCTAAATCATCACGCTAAGACTCCATGAAATATACTCGTTTTTCAGTTTCTTTATACAGTAGATGACTACCTTATCTAAATCCTTAATTCCACCCCTGAAAGAGCTCTTAGTCTAGCAATGGAACTAGATATGTAAGGGAATAAATTATAAGACAGTGTGATAGTTTGATGAGTGTAGTAAATAGAAATGAAAGCATAATTAGTACAAGAAGGTAAGATCTGTTTTGCGGCCAGATGAATAACATAAGCAACAAACATTATAAAATAAGATGATGTATTCAACAGAATTTCAAAGTCTCATGGAATACAGACTTTGTGGAATCACTGAGGCTAGATGAACCCCTGAAACTACCGCCCTGAGATAATCTGCAAACCTTAAACCAAAAACATCCCATGAAGTCTTCTTTAAACCAAATAAAAGCTTAGCTTAATTAAGTAAAGAATGTCTGCCATAAACATTATGCTCTTTTAACAAACTGTCTACATGGGATCAAATTGATGATGGCAATTCATAAAGCTTGGAAAAAGAACTTAGGGGGTAGTGAGTTTATGTTATTGGAGGAGGAACAATCCAGAAAAAGAGGGTGAGAATTGTTGCACAACTTGAAAAATGCCAATATTACTGAATTGTACATTCAAAAAATGTTGAACTGGTATACGTTCTCCTGTGTATATTTTCAACAATAAACTATTTTTAAAAAATTCAGTTCTAAGCCAAAAAAAAAAAGTATTCAAGAAACTCAAAGTACATATAGCATCTGGCACTGTGGGCATCAGTGAGAAAAGAGATGGGATGTGGAGGCTACTTAGAGAAGTAGGTAAAGGGCTTACATGATAGAATTCATCAAATTCATCTGCTTAACGAGCCAGGAAAAAATACATATATATATATATTTTTTTTAATTGTGATTTGGGTGAAAGTTTACAGAGCAAATTCACTTTCCATAGAGCAGTTCACATACACTTTGTCTCATGACATTGACTACAATTTATCACAATGCAACAGCTCCCCTCCTACTTCTTCCCCATAGTTACCTCTTCCTATGTCCTTCCCTCCATGCTCTCCTGCCCCGAGCTGTCTCCCTCTGTATACACAGCCCCTCTTTCTTCCATGATTGTTCTCTCCAAGGAGTGTATCTACCTAGTGTAAATGTTCACCTCATATGCCTGTCTTTTGTTTGGCTGGAAGCCACAGGTGGGCAGAAAGTATTTTTAATCAAGATAAAACCATGCCAATTTGTATTTAAGGATGCTCATTCACCTTGACATAAGAATGGAGATTGGTTTGGAGGGAAGCAAGACTAAAGGCAAGAAGATCAGCTAGAAGGCTGTTACCATGTTCCACATGAAAGATGATGAGGGCAGGACTGAAGGCAAAGACAGGGAGAATGGAGAGAAGACAGGTTTTATTTTTATTTTTTAAAAGTAATTTATATAGTATTTATTATGTACCTGACATTGTTACAAATATTTTAACATATTTACCCATTTAAGCCTGAAAACAATCCTACAGTTGTATCATCATCTTCATTGTACAGATACAGAGATTGAGGCACAGAAAAGTTAAGATAACTTGCCCAAGACTGCACAGCTAATAATCAGTATAGCCAAGACATGAACTCAGGTAATATGGTTCCAAAATCTGTGCTCTTAATTACTATACACCTACTCCTCACTTGGGAGCTCTGGTAGCATAGTGCCTAAGGCACTTGACTACTAACCAGAAGGCTGGCAGTTCAAACTCATCAGCCACTCCTGGGAAGGAAGGTTGGGCAATCTACTTCCGTAGTGATACTACCTCAGCAACCCAAGGAGGGGTTGCTATGAGTCTGGTCCAACTCAACGGCACATAACAACAACACAGCAACTCCTCACTTATCAACTAACATTTCGCATTTACAACAATAGTAAAAAATCTACTATCCAACTATGTTGCATTAGTGGCAATCATCTGCCAGTAACAAATGCCACAGTGTTCATCAAGAGTAATGCTAGCTATGATGGTTACAGTTGTATGCCAACTTGGTTGGGCCATGAGGGCCATGATTCTCAGTTGTTTGGCAGTTAAACAATGACACAATTTGGCAGTTATGTAATGATATAGTCATCCTCCATTTTCACATAACTCTGACTTCTGCATAATGCCCTGGTTTGGGGAAACTAATCACATCAGTAGGAGCTATGTTAGCATAGTGCCTAAGGCACTTGACTGCTAACCAGAAGGCTGGTGGTTCAAA